TGTCCGCTGCAACTTATAAATACATGAATACAGGTAATATCTCGGTGATTGTGTGTTGTAATATGTGTTATTGTAAGTCAGCCGTGTGTCTTGAAGGAGGGGGAGGGGGCTGGTCTTACAAGGGGAGGCTGGTCTTACAAGGGGAGGCTGGTCTTACAAGGGGGGCTTACAGAGCCAGGGTGTCCGGGTTCTCCTTAATTGTCCTCCACAAAAACGTGGTTTATAATTTTTGTGTTTTTGATTCGGCACTAAGCAGAATTTAGTTTTTGTTTCTCATTTATTTGTTCGTTTTAAGTCGACTTTTACACTATTTTAAGCCATTCTTATGAATACCTTTTAATGTACAATATCACACCAATACGTCTATGAGACAATATCTCATTGGTAGCTATTTACTGCTAGGTAACAGGGTCATCAGGGTGAAAGAAACATTTTTGGCCATTTTTTTTTTTTTTTTTTTTTTTTTTTTTTTTTTTTTTTTTGAGATATATACAAGAGTTGTTACATTCTCGTACAGCCACTAGTACGCGTAGCGTTTCGGGCAAGTCCTTAATCCTATGGTCCCTGGAATACGATCCCCTGCCGCGAAGAATCGTTTTTTCATCAAGTACACATTTTACTGTTGCGTTAAACAGAGGCTACAGTTAAGGAATTGCGCCCAGTAAATCCTCCCCGGCCAGGATACGAACCCATGACATAGCGCTCGCGGAACGCCAGGCGAGTGTCTTACCACTACACCACGGAGACTGTAAATTTGTCTCCGCCTCCATCGGGGATCGAACCCGGAACCTCAGGACTACGTATCCGAAGCGCTGTCCACTCAGCTGTCTCTCTCTCTCTGATGATAAAATGTGTATATTATGATTATATGTGTTTGTTGTTTTTGCTTCCCTAGTTATTAGGTTTTATTTATTTTGTAGGTTGTTCTGCAACCTGTCTCTTGGCAACACTTTGGTTCTCCAACCTGTCTCTTGGCAACACTTTGTGGTTCTGCAACCTGTCTCTTGGCAACACTTTGGTTCTCCAACCTGTCTCTTGGCAACACTTTGGTTCTCCAACCTGTCTCTTGGCAACACTTGTGGTTCTGCAACCTGTCTCTTGGCAACACTTTGTGGTTCTGCAACCTGTCTCTTGGCAACACTTTGGTTCTCCAACCTGTCTCTTGGCAACACTTTGGTTCTGCAACCTGTCTCTTGGCAACACTTTGGTTCTGCAACCTGTCTCTTGGCAACACTTTGTGGTTCTGCAACCTGTCTCTTGGCAACACTTTGGTTCTCCAACCTGTCTCTTGGCAACACTTTGGTTCTCCAACCTGTCTCTTGGCAACACTTGTGGTTCTGCAACCTGTCTCTTGGCAACACTTTGGTTCTCCAACCTGTCTCTTGGCAACACTTTGTGGTTCTCCAACCTGTCTCTTGGCAACACTTTGGTTCTGCAACCTGTCTCTTGGCAACACTTTGGTTCTGCAACCTGTCTCTTGGCAACACTTTGGTTCTGCAACCTGTCTCTTGGCAACACTTTGGTTCTGCAACCTGTCTCTTGGCAACACTTTGGTTCTGCAACCTGTCTCTTGGCAACACTTTGGTTCTGCAACCTGTCTCTTGGCAACACTTTGGTTCTCCAACCTGTCTCTTGGCAACACTTTGGTTCTGCAACCTGTCTCTTGGCAACACTTTGGTTCTGCAACCTGTCTCTTGGCAACACTTTGGTTCTGCAACCTGTCTCTTGGCAACACTTTGGTTCTCCAACCTGTCTCTTGGCAACACTTTGGTTCTGCAACCTGTCTCTTGGCAACACTTTGGTTCTCCAACCTGTCTCTTGGCAACACTTTGGTTCTCCAACCTGTCTCTTGGCAACACTTTGGTTCTGCAACCTGTCTCTTGGCAACACTTTGGTTCTGCAACCTGTCTCTTGGCAACACTTTGGTTCTGCAACCTGTCTCTTGGCAACACTGTTTGGTTCTGCAACCTGTCTCTTGGCAACACTTTGGTTCTGCAACCTGTCTCTTGGCAACACTTTGGTTCTGCAACCTGTCTCTTGGCAACACTTTGGTTCTGCAACCTGTCTCTTGGCAACACTTTGGTTCTGCAACCTGTCTCTTGGCAACACTTTGGTTCTGCAACCTGTCTCTTGGCAACACTTTGGTTCTGCAACCTGTCTCTTGGCAACACTTTGTGGTTCTGCAACCTGTCTCTTGGCAACACTTTGTGGTTCTGCAACCTGTCTCTTGGCAACACTTTGGTTCTGCAACCTGTCTCTTGGCAACACTTTGGTTCTGCAACCTGTCTCTTGGCAACACTTTGAGCCTTCCCAAATGTGTTGTAAAGTTGTACAAGCTGGAGATTAGATGTATTAACTACCAACTCTTAAAAATTTTCTCATGGGCTGTGTGCTTTGTATATAGCTTTGCAGATAGGCCCTAACCTAGGTAAAAGAAAAAAATACAGACATTAAAAAAGATATTAATGTGTACATTAATGTGTACAACTTGGCATAGAGAATTGGTGGGTGTGTGTGTGTGTGTGTGTATTCACCTAGTTGTGCTTGCTTGCGGGGGTGCGTGCATGTGTGTGTTGCTGTGGTGCGTGTGTGTGAGTGTGTTGCTGGGGTGCGTGTGTGTGAGTGTGTTGCTGGGGTGCGTGTGTGTGAGTGTGTTGCTGGGGTGCGTGTGTGTGAGTGTGTTGCTGGGGTGCGTGCATGTGTGAGTTGCTGGAGTGTGTGTTGGTTGCGGGTGGTGTGTGTGTGTGTGTGTTGGTTGCGGGTGGTGTGTGTGTGTGTGTTGGTTGCGGGTGGTGTGTGTGTGTGTTGGTTGCGGGTGGTGTGTGTGTGTGTGTTGGTTGCGGGTGGTGTGTGTGTGTGTGTGTTGGTTGCGGGTGGTGTGTGTGAGTGTGTTGGTTGCGGGTGGTGTGTGTGTGTGTGTGTGTTGGTTGCGGGTGGTGTGTGTGTGTGTGTGTGTTGGTTGCGGGTGGTGTGTGTGTGTGTGTGTTGGTTGCGGGTGGTGTGTGTGTGTGTGTGTTGGTTGCGGGTGGTGTGTGTGTGTGTGTGTGTTGGTTGCGGGTGGTGTGTGTGTGTGTGTTGGTTGCGGGTGGTGTGTGTGTGTGTGTGTGTTGGTTGCGGGTGGTGTGTGTGTGTGTGTTGGTTGCGGGTGGTGTGTGTGTGTGTTGGTTGCGGGTGGTGTGTGCGTGCGTACATGACATTGAAGCGGCACCAGTTGTTGAAGTATTAACTGTTCTAGAGTGCCATTCAGTCGTTGTAACGGTCAGTCCCATCCCCCCCCTCCCCCCGACAACTTTTGCGTTAGTGAACGCACTCCAACCGTAACGCCTCGCACGCAATAACACACTGTACTGCCTTATGCACGCACGTGTCTTCAAGTTTATATGAGAAACATTACAGGAGCTATCCAGGAAATTTCCTGCTTGATTGGACTCCTTTTTTAAATCTTTTTGCAAATTATCCTATAATCATTAAAGTCGATTACATAATGACGGGTTACTTAATTTAACAATTGACAAGCGTAATTGTTAAATTAAGTAACGGCACATTGTAATGTCCGCAAGTTAATGTTTTAGCTGATTTTAAGATTGAAATGTTGCCAACTAAATTTATTACTAGAGAAATATTAATGTGATTTAGATGAATCACATGAGTAATATTTCTGTTGTTGGGAGAGATAAATGGGAGGGATATATGAGTGTTGTTGTTGATTTAGGGTGAATGTAAATGGTTGTTTAGAGTAGTTTGTGGTGGTTGAGGGTTGAGAACAGTGAGGTGCGGGGGCGCGCGCGCCATCTCTTGCCGCGGACCCGCACTACATTTAAATTCTCCTCCGGAAAGTGAAAGGAGGAGGATGGGCCCTCCACGGGTGAGTTATTTTGGCCTTTACCTCGCCCTTGAACTTGAGTTTTATCCCTCAGTCCGGCCGTGATAGCGGCCAAGCACCGGCGCACGTGTTGCAGGTGTTAGATCGCGTGTTATCGCTGCTCACGAGGGAGAAATAAGAGATAAGATAAGGGGAGGGGTCTTGGGCCGCCTGGGTTTGTTTACATCTGTCAATGCCTGACCTCCTTGTGTTGGTTCTTGTAAGATCTTGGGGCTCCTGCAATGGGGACTTTAATTATTTGGAGTGGTAGTGGGATCGAGGTATATCCAGGCCGTAGGCTCACAAGGGCATTTATTTCGACTATGACAGGGGAAGATAAGTGTGTACCCAGTACCCTCTGGCAGCTTGGGGCACGTTAGCTCGGGCATCTCCTTGAGGCAACTAATGCCCTGAATTTATACACTTTCAGATTTTTAGCGAAATTAAAACGTTTGTATTAAGTTAAATGACCTTTTATGGTACACAAGACTTTATGGTGTCAACAGAGGGGAAATTTAGTCCATGAACAAGTTTTATCAAATACAATAAAGTTTTCCAATACATAAACTTAAATTTGTAACGACAATTTAAATGTTGGTTTTTGGATATTCTTTAGTTTTAAGTGGCTTGTATATGGGTAAGCTAGGCTGTGTACATATATTTATGTATGTAGCAGTGTAACAAAGTTTGGCTTGTGCCTAAATCTTGTGCTCTAATGCAACAATGTTAGTTTAATATTGGCTACTGTACTGTATTTTCATTTATTATAGAACAGTGTCTATCATGACTTGCAATATGTCATTAATTATTTCCGTAATTGACACCCAAATCTTGGTAATCTGTGAATTACACTGAATTGCAACAAATAGCATTATGCTGTAGCTTTCACTGTCTTTGGTCTTGCAATCTATGGCATATGCTACTTCATACAGATTTGTTAAAAGTTCAGTTACTGTAGGTTAACATTTTGAACTAATTATTTTGGCAGAAATATACTGTGCATTGGATTACTAAATATGCATTTCATATAATAATTGAATCTGTCCCTTTAACTAAAATTGCATGAAAGTTTATGCTCATTAATTTCCTAAATGCTTAAGTTTCACGCCAAGATGTTTAATTCATGCTGTATTTGCAGGCCCTACATCGGGATTTGGACCGCCTGCGGGCGCTGTCGCCTCTCTCCCAGCGTTGTCGTCGCTCCCCCACCATGAATCCACGCACGCCATTAATGCTCTCTTCCAGGTATTTATGACAAATTATGGATTCTTGTAAAAGTAATTATCTTTTAGCTGTGATAATCTCTGAATGTTCTTTACTGTCTAGCAATGGATATTGAAAATTAAAGACTTTTTACACAAAAAATGAGTGAATGTACAGTATTATTTATCGGTTTTGATTTTCATTGTTGGTTTGGAGGTTTAAAATTTTAACTATACAAACTCTTTCATTCAGTTTCTGGGACGTGTATGCCTTTTTTGCCGAAAATTTGCCTCGTTTCAGTTAAAATCTTGCAGTAAATAATGAATAATACGTTGCGAAGATCTCTTGACTCTTTGTCGAGCAAATGCCTGACTCCTATCCCCAAAAGAACAAACTATAAAAATGAAAACTTGATACATGGTTACCTGTAGCTCCAGGTTTTGTATGCACTATGTACTAATTTTTCTTGGGCAGTTGTATACTAGAGACATTTGACAGATATCGGCATGAAATGAGGAAAATGTAGTTTTCTTGGAACTCTGGCGGAGCATGAGCTTGACATCCATCCAGCCTTGAGGTTGAATGCACAGTATCTTGCATTTTCTATGTAAAATATAGAGGCTACTGATTGGGCAATCATATAATTCTGTGTAACAATACACAGAATTCATTGACTTGCTAGTTAGTATTTATTCAATATATTTAAATAATTAGAGACTACATATAAAAATTATAATTTGCCAAAGGCAGACAGTAAGTCACAATAACTTGGCTGAATTCAACCCATAAATCTGAAAGTAAAGGAAGTGATGTTTATCCATCCTGGACCATTATGACGTTTCATAAAGAGGGTCAGGGGGGAAGTCGATATACAGTACAAGGTAAGAAGGCTAGGTAAAAGTTAAGGTTGAATTGTAGTAGGAATAAGATCGAAGTATAGGATCCTCATTTGTATTTAAATCTGTTTATTTTGCCCCATTCTCTCTGCCATTAGGTCTGCAGGTTTCTTTTTCTGTACTTCCACCAGATTCCTGTATTTCAAACTAATCTACTTTTCACCTCGCTCCTTACATAAATTGACTTTCTCTGCCCCTCTTTCTGCACACAACTTGACAATTGTCCAGGATGGAGCAAGACGTCGTTGTTTTCTGTATTTTAAGATTTGTGGGGCGAATATGTAAGTTTAAAAAAACTAAAAAAAAAAAAAAAAAAAAAAAAAAAAAAAAAAAAAAAAATTCTGCATCCTATTTTTTTAAATTTGCATTTAAAGATTTCAAATCCTTGCCAATATTTTATAACCTTATTACAAAAGCACAGTAATTTATTATTTTACTGTAATTGAAAATGTTTGTAATTACACTACAGTACCACTACTGATGTTAATAATTTACTAATTGGGGTTCATTATGAATGTATACAGTAGCTAAAATTTAAGAGCAGCATTAAACTTGAATTCTTAATTTTGGAAGAAAGTTTTACGAGTATACTGTAGTTGTCAAATTATTAAGTTCTCTTGTCAGAAACAAATGTCCCAGCTCGCACATTTGAAAGTGACTACATTTGGGTTCATCCTGGACTCTCTCTGATAGAGAGTACGGGACTCTAAAGACTATTGTATATTTATATTAAATAGATTTGTCATTTATTAAAATATTAATGAGCTTACATATATTGTTTCTATTTGACACTGGATGAAACGGAATGTCGGACAGACTGGAAGCGGGGGCTCGTTGTAATTCATCCATTTGAACAAGAGTACACAGTACACTAATTTAAGTTTGAGCTGCACCATAAGTGCTAAATGAAAGCAAGACCAGTCATTTGTGAACATACAGTACTTGGTTGTATATAAAAGCATGATTTGAAATCGTACTGATAATACAAACCATTACACCTAACTGATTTGTTTATTAAAGCTGTTTGTTTCTTTTAAATGGTATTTATGAACAAGCTTGTTTGTAAATGTGCCAGTCTTTTTCAGCATCTAATAAAATACACATGATACTAATTGGTAGCAGCAGTGTCGGTTTCTGTACCCAATTTTTTTCCTCCAAATGTAAATTTAATTTGTACCAACTGATGCAATTGACACATTTTTAAAGCCGTTTTATTTTCATTTCTGATGAGAAAAATGTACGTGGAAGCCCCCCCCCCCCCTTTTTTTTTATAGTAATACTTTAGTATTCAATTTCTTTGATATATTTTGTTCATTACTGATATCAGAGGGTATACAATATCATTATATAGACCCAGTACAGTACCTTAATAATTAAGCTGGTCTTTGCAGTTAGTTGTCATTCATTTTATATTCTTTCCCTTGGTAAATGGTAATTTTTAGTGCAATACACGATTAATGTGGCAACTAGCTTTGTGGCACATTACAGATTATTTAAAACTTTAGCAGGTTCCTTAAAGGATTAATATTCCCTACAAAATTGTAACTCCAACACTAGTAGGAAACCCCATTTGATCCTTTTAAAGATTTCTATTGCCCAAAAAAATTGCACAAGAATTCTCATCGGTTACTTTCATTTCTAAATGAAAGTAGTGAATATGGAATTAATTTTAATCTTTTTATTTAGCATGTCTGCAGTGTTTTAAATATTTAAATGCCATGAGGTTTTAAATGAGATTTGTGTAACTTGTAATGGTTTGATATTAATGCATGAATATGCCAGGGTTGCTCACTGTGTATAGCTTGAGGACGAGATCACGAGAGAGGGCAAGGCAAGAAGATTCGGGTGTGTTTTGTATACGATTAGAAAAATTCCATTCATCCGCCATTTCATGTATGGAGAGGATGAGTGCAGAGTAGTTTAATGTTTTGTAGACTTGGTGAAATATAACTGATTACTGTACTTTCATTGGCAATCAAGTTATGGCAATGGAAAGCTTTAAACAGCATGTGAAATGTTACCTTGAGAGGTTATCTTGAGATGATTTCGGGGCTTTAGTGTCCCCGCGGCCCGGTCCTTGACCAGGTCTCCACCCCCCAGGAAGCAACCCGTGACAGCTGACTAACACCCAGGTACCTATTTTACTATTGGGTAACAGGGGCATAGGGTGAAAGAAACTCTGCCCATTGTTTCTCGCCGGCGCCTGGGATCGAACCCAGGATCACAAGTCCAGCGTGCTGTCTGTTCGGCCGACCGGCTCCCTTGGTGGTAAAAGAAAATGGTGGTAAAAGAAAATCCTAGGAAGTGGTTGACAAGTTCAAAATGCCTGGGCACTGTAACTGATGGAGGTATTTTTCTTTCTAAATTTTATTAGTCAATCAGGGATAGAAAAATGGTGAAATCCTGATGTAGGAAAAATGTTCAAAGTGATAAAACTGTTTAGCTGCATGAAGAAGTGGTCTTGACTAGCCTCGTGTATGTACTAGTCGGGGCCTCTCATACTTGTACAAATTCCCTTAATTATTATACCAGTTCTTGCTAGTAATGGTGTAATCACGTGGAAAGGATGTGGTGAATTTCCCAAGCTTTTTGGACAAACACGATAATGAATTTGCATTTAGGAATGTGGCAAGAGAGACTAAAAAAGCTATTGCACACAAGAGTAATATGACTGAAGGAATTGAGTCTTGTAAAAGTAGTTTTTAAGTGGCATGAAGCTTGGGAGGGGGAAAAACTAAATGTTGGTAACCTAGGCTAAGGCAGGAAATGTCTTAAGTGTACAGCACTGGTATGTCTCATTCTTGTAAAGTATTGTGTGGTAGCCTTGGGTAACGGTGTATTCTTATTGACTTATGGTTCCACAGGGAAGGAGAGAGTAGTATAGGTGGAGGACTTGGCACTACTGTCAGCCAGGCTCATTCAGTGGACTCTCCTGGAAAATCACACGGCAGCAAGCTGCGTGCTCCCACAACCTCTGTGCCTTTGGTGCCGTCTACTCGGACACTGCGGAACAGTACTACCAGACCGACTAGAGTCAACACTGCAGTCAATGCATCACCACGTAAAGCCTCAGCTCCTAGTAAACTTATCAGGTACGTGTATTTCCATACAGTGATTTAGTAAAATCAGCCAAGAGCTGTGATCCTATAGTTTTTGAGTACTAACCCTAGAAATTTTTATTCAATAAGACAATCTTTATTTTTTAATAGCTCTGGCTATAGTTTTAATATGGAGCAACAAATTTTGTTTTCTCGCCCTTTCCCTACTATACACATTTACTGAGAAATCTCAAATTGTTAGCACGAATGTTTAAGAAAATAAATTTAGCATACATTTCATACACGTCTCGATTGTTAATGGCTTGGGTTTGAAACCTAAAAAATTGTCCATTTGTTCATTACATCCTTCCATGCTCAAAAACATTCATCATACTGTAATTGCATCATATTTCTTGGTAAATTTGTCATTATAGTTTTCTATGTAGAACTTTGGTTGATCTTTCTTCATTTTCCTATATATCTGCTTCCATAACTAGCTCGTCTGTCTTTAAGACCTCGTCTGCATTTTGCCACATTTGCCTGCGATGTACAGGCCACGTCGGATATTTCTGCATCTCTTGTAGCTGAAACTTTTACTAAAAGCTTTAATAAATAGCTAAAGATATTTATTGAGAGTAAAACACTTGCATTCTCGCTGTGGCTGACCATAGGTTTTAAATTTCCTAGTACCATTAATCTATATTTGTGCCAAAAATATATCTTCATTTGTATTATTGTATTGTATAAATTTACCATTAAAAATAATCAGTGTTGTTAAATTGCTGCTTTTGCAATACTATAGTTGGAATACAACAAATGAGGAATACTTTTGATATTTGTTAAATCGAATTTGTAAGACGAAAATCTTGACTTTTCAGCATTTGACACTAACTGTACTGCGTAATACATCTATGGTATATTTATAGCTCTAACGAGAAATTAAAGCATTTAATAATTGAAAAATTTTAATATTGTATTTTAAAGACACGGGTGCATAGAATTCGGCACCCATATTGGCATTATTTTTTTTTTTTTTACAGCATTCTAGGAGGGAGCCTGGAAAATCTTCCAAATACAGTGTCTGTCAGAAGAAAAACTTCTGCACCTGCCAAGGCTTTAATCTCTTCAACCAACACTAAGAAGACTTCTGCTAAAACTACAACCAGGTCAAGAAGGACATCAACATCATCAGGCTCTGGTGCTACTTGTCGGTAAGGAATTGTTAATTTACATTTATTTATTTATTTATTTATTTTATATACAAGGTACATTGGGTTTGTGAGAATACATAGTATAGTACAGTATTTACAATCTTGTAAAGCCACTAGTACGCGCAGCGTTTCGGGCAGAAAGTAGTAGTATGTAGTAGTATGAAATGAAGCCAGGGCCAATAATGGCGAGCATGTGAAGTGACGGGAAACAAGGCACCAATATGTATAGAGAATCTTTGACTTGTTCAAGTAGTAGTGTTGCTAGTGTGAGAGATATGGCTAATGGACAGATGCTCCATTTTAACATCTTGAGCCTTTGATTCCTAAGTATTTCCTTTGATTCTGGGAATTGCTCTTATCAATTCTAGGTTGGTCTGTTCGCCACATGAAACGGAGAATTAGGGAAGTGATGATGGATTAAAAATAGGAGTAGAATAAATAAATATTGATAGGTAGACTTGTTGGCATAAAACATATTGAATATATAATGTAGACCTGAGAAGGATATTGGCAAGAAATAGTTGGCAGAGATGTTAGGTTTATTGGGGATGGCTCTGAAGAATAATAAAGCATCGTAAGTAGTGGAACCAATTTGGGGAAGTGGATGCAATTGTATAATGCAGGTCGTGCTTAATTGGCTTCAGTACAGTACTTGATAAACAAGGTCGAGCCCTCTGTCGGAAAACTACTCGCTGCATCTTGAAGTTGACACCCCCCCCCTTCCCTCCTCACTTAATAATATAACAATTTAGGTAAAGGTACATGCATACAAAATGAGTCGCAGAATGTTGGATTTCGAGATAGAGCTAGTATATACTATACCTAAAGGCATCAATACGCACAGCATTTCGGCCAATTTTTGGCAGGTTTGCACAGTATACTACTATTTCTCTTGATAATCTTGCCCCAAACTGATTCGATTCTTATGTAAATAGGACTCCCAATTTTAAGTGAGTACGTCTTAGGATAGTGTATCGAATCAAACTTAAATATTTTGATGAGGCCGTAATGGGGAAAAATACGTATTCCAGGATTGGTAGTCTTAAGGTGGTGGTTGTGGCTGGTCCATAGGAAAAACTGTAACATTTTCCTGGGTGATGCCAATTGCATGAGTGCATGAAATTAAGATTTATTTGGTAGATGTAGCCATAGAGCATGGGAAACAGGACTATACCAAATATCTAGATTTATATTGCAGTATTGTACTTGCATTGTAATTTGAAATGTTCTAATTGTAGGGCGCTTCATTAAAGTGAAGGGTTGTGGGAAAGACTGAGGATGGGATTGATATTATTATTATTATTACAGTATTCCTGTTTCCCCTTTTAATCGGGTGAGGAGGCATCGGTTGAAGAGTTAGTAGAAAGCAGGGTTGTTAGAGATCATTGATTTAAAATGTTTATTTATTGTTGTTCACACTAGCACAAACGATAAACCAGCACTCCTCCACAGCAGCAGCACCACCACACTTTCATAAGACCAGGTATATTGCACAACTGTCATGTACAGTATAAACAATTACATTCAATCAATCCTTGTAAACCATTTCCACCCAGCCCGGTTCCTTTCCACGTCGGGTACATTGTTCACGCGTATGAAGGCCAATCTTCTTGGTTTTCATCTACTACAATCAAATTCACTAATGCATGCACGTACATAACAAGTCATTCATGTTCTACTGTGTAAAGCCTAAATTATACTGGTATACGCTAATCACTCTTGCAGCTCGTTAATTTTGCACTCTGTACCATTCATGTTTATATTTATTTTTGTTCTTCTCCACTGCGAAAGCCTCGGTGCCTATTTCTGCCGTTCCCATTCCAGTTTTCACATTCATACTACAGTACATAGCTACTTCATATTCTTAAACAAGGGTTCTTGCTGTACTACCATTTGGTGATGTAGCCCTCTGAATTCAAATATCTAATTACTGTATACATCTTGGCTCACTCTTTTCCATTTTCACACATAAGATATTTAAACTGTTCATCACTTGAAACGGTGAGCAATGTTTTCTGTCTGGTTTATATTCATCACCGGGGAAAAGGGATGTTTAAGCTTTTGCAGTGATGCAACTATGGAGCTGCAACATGAACAATTTTGGATGACAACACATTCAGAACCACAACACATTGGTGGTTTTGATGTTGATTAGTTTGGTTGCAGCAGCTGGATGTTGGAAATGAAATGACTTGTCAAGATTGATTGTCGAGTTAAGGAAGCTTGTTACGCGATACTGGCGGAGTCTGGTAGGATGTAGTGCTGAAGGTGGCCGACGCTTGGGCGAGACGGGGAGCTCGACGAAGGACGGGAGTGGAGAGCTTTGATGAGGGGGAGGGGGGGAGACCAGGGAAGCTTGAATAAGGCAGGGGTTGGCTGTCTGCTCTGTAGCAAGGCTGTCTTGAATTAATGTTGGAACTCTACTGGCGATGGTGCATTTCGACCATATATCCTCTCCTGTCATTGTCCTGGACCCATTTTGCTTCATTGACATGGTGACCATCTTTTGATTGGATGGAAAGCTCGCCCCCTTTTTTTTTTTTTTTTTTTTTTTTATGGAACCATTAGGGAGCATGTATTAATGTAATTACAGATGTCATTAGTGGGAAATAGGTTTGTGGATGTCATTAGTGGGATTAATGGGAACATTTAATTACCTGTAGTAGAACTGTAGACAACTTCAAGCAATGTGATTAATCTTTAATACATTTGCTACAGAGCATCAGAAATAAAATAGTCGGCCTAGAAGCCTTTTGGGTTTGTCGAGGTCCCCCAAGGCCAGAGGCTGACCTTTCAGTGTTGAAACCCACAACAGTGGTCACTTTGGCACTGATGAGTAAACAAGGTGGTACATATGAATAAATGTGCTCAAATATTTTGTCCTGCCCAGAAATCTAACTAGTCCACTGCTGTGAGCCGACTGTGCTGATAGCAAAACGGTGTTTGGGTATCTAAATTCAATTCATTTTTGTTAGCCTTTTATATAAGGGTTAATATAATTCTTACCTCTATTGTTTTTTTGTATTTAAATCTTCCAATTTTATAGTGCCCAAGTGCCTAGACTCATTCGCAGCTTCCAGTATGTTACTGAAAATATTGACACCTTTTCACCTGCATGTTTCAAAAAGAGAACCTGCATACACAGGACATTTCTATTGAGAAATTTATCGTCAGACTTTCAGACTTAAAATTTACTGTATTTCGATTCTAATTTGTTTCTGTAACAAAAAAGCTTCTGACACGGTTATGGACAGACTCCATTCTAATTCTTTATTAAATGTACGTTTACAGTACACGTATATGGAATTCTGAGGGTCTCGGCTATTACTACAGGTAAGAAATATTAATTTGTGTATTGGTATGTTGAATTTGCACCTTACCTCTGCCGGAACCCATGAATTTTTAGTGTAACAGAATAATATTTCTTGGCACTAAATTAAAAACCGAAGTAACTAATTACCCCATTCATTTTTTTTGGCCATTTTGAATTAAATAATGGTCCAAAATTAACTGGGGGGGGGGATTAGCATATATGGAAAATCCAATTAAAGTTCACCTTCACATCTTTAAGAATAACATTTTGCATTGTCTAATGCTGCCACTTTCATATACAGAGGAACCTTGGTACATGAACGCCTCCCAACTTCAACATTTAAGTACTGTACTGTACTCGAGTGCAGTGTTAGTGCTCGGTAGTTGACTATTTGCTCGGCACTCGAATGTAAACACGTGTAATAGACAATCTTGTTTCCTAGTAGCTATCATTCAGTGCACACCCCACTAAACTTTTGTAAATTTTCTCATGTTTTCTTGGATATTTCTTAGATACTCAGCATAAATAAATTGCCATTGCACCTTAGAAAGTTAGTAATAAAGGCCAAACAAAAAGAAAGAACTACAGTAAAATATGAAAATACAACTCTTAACAAAATATGAAAAATGGTGTCCGCATGTCTGCTCTTTCTACCGAGTCTAGTATGCCTAAATCTACAGTCTAAACAATAGAAAGAAAAAACGAAAGAAGCACAATTACCTGAAGGTTTTAGGGTAGACTCCGCTTCCTAACAATACCATCTCTCCTCTTCCTCCCCACCTTCCACATATACTATCATCTCTGCTAAGTGCAGGTAAAGTGAGAATATATGTTCATTTAATTTACTGTATTCATTCACATGTTTTGTGGTCTGGAAAAAATTACATAATCCAATTTACATTATTCATTGTGGGAAAATTATTCAACACTGTAACAGCCTTCTGGAACCAATCGAGCTTGAGTACTGAGGTTCTACTGTACCACTGACTATTGGTAGTCCACTGATGCTTGTCAAGATTAGTTCAGGGTTCCAGTATTACATTTGGGTTCATTCTAGATGCACAATCGCGAATTCTGGGTTTGAATCCTGGGCAGGACAGAAATGGTTGGGCACATTTCCTTTCACCTAATGACGCTGTTCACCTAGCAGTAAGTAGGTACTAAAGAGTTAGTCAGCTTGTTGTGGGGTTGCATCCTGGGCAGAGGTCAGTAATTCGACCTGGGGAGGGGACCTCGATACAAGCGTAACGTGTATGAATACGCTCTGGCTTCCTGTCCCTCGACACGAAGCATTATTATTATTATTATAAGATCACAGGACAATCGGGCTGGATGTACACCGCACTGGTGCCTTGGGATGTTGCTCCCATAACATGATATTGAGGGAGGGAATTCGGGGAAAGCGTAAAGCCATTACGACTATATAGCACTTGCAAAGGGTCAGGATAAGGATTTTGGGATGGGACGGGGGGGAAAACAATGGTGCCCAACCACTTGGATGGTCGGGGATTGAACGCCGACTTTCATGAAGCAAGACTTTTGGGGGGACAGGAAGCCAGAGTGTATCGTATATGTAGTGTATGTAACACTGTACAGTACCTGCATACAAACATGCCAGTAACAATTTATTTTTGTAAGTCAATTCCACATCTGCTCCACTAATTATGTACAGTATTTTGAAGCACTGTACTATAGATAAATTGAGGGCAAACAATTGGGTACAGTACTTTTATATTTTTGAGCTGTATCGCTAGGATCTTATCCAAGAAAGAAATGGTGCCTTTTTGTCCCTACCCATGTTCTCAATTTGGAAGAAACTTGTAAAAATGTGTTTCATACAAACTGCAGTTTTTCGGACTGCATGGGATGTGCTCAGTGGGTGCTACAGATATTGTCAAACCTAACAACCCACTTCTCCAGTGTTTAACTACCTAAGTGTAGTTACAGGATGAGAGCGACACTCATGGTGTTCTGTCTTCCCAGCACTGTCATTAAAGCTTTGAATTTACTGACGGTTTCGACCTCCACAACCTTCTCGTCTATCTTGTTCCAACTGTCTGTCACTATTTGCGAAGGTGAATTTTCTTGTATTTCTTAATCAGTTTTGTTTAGTTAGTTTAAATCTATGATGTCTTGTTCTTGAAGTTCCAAGTCTCGGGAATCCTTTCCTATCAATTTGATAAATTTGTTACTATTTTGTACGTAGTGATCATATCGCCTCTTTTTCTTCCATCTTCTAGTTTTGGCATATTTAATGCCTCTAACCTCTCCTCATAGCTCTTGTCCTTCAGTTCTGGGAGCCACTTCGTGGCATGCAGTGTGGCGAGTCGTGTTGCCAACCTCCTAGTAGCATAAATCTGAAATTAAAATGCTTTTAACTTTGCCACAGACATGTAACTGGGGTATAATACTCCTTTCACGCTTACTTTAGTTAACGTACTGTGTACACTTAATAGTTCCGATGGGCGGGAAGGGGGTGGAGTTGTGGTTTTGTGTATATTGTCAGGACAAGCACAACAAAATGTTACAACACTTTTCTGGCCCTTTCTTGTCTTCATATTACAATAGGATATTTATGGGGCACCTATTTTCCTCTGGAGGATAACCATTCTTCTAAGTGGGGCAAACTGAGACTAGATCCAGCAAATCTGTGATCTGTTGTCTTTACAAACTTGCTTGAACCTCTCTGAGATACAGATGAATTAGAAGTACAGTCTGGTACTGCAAATGCACTGTCAATTAGCTACGTGTATGCCAGTTATTAGAATACAGTACAAACATTTATCATTGCCCTAGGAGAGGTATGCAAGGCTTGGATGACTTTCATTAGGTTTTTGGTGAATTTCCCGGATCGTCAAACATTTTGGGTGTTGCTCGATGGTGTCCTAATGACAGGCAATTAATGACATCACTTGTGTAATTCTGACAGGTGTATATAGTACTATGTACAGTATATAGATCTTTCTATTGGTTATATAAAAAAATAAAAATTGCTGTGGTCATTCAACAAACTTGGCAGAAATTGTAAATAAAGCTGCTGCTTGGACAGAGATTTGCCGCTTTAAATTTCTGGTCACAAAATTCTGTCTTTATATTCAGTAAATGACGTCCAGTCGACAATCCAATCGATGAGTAGATCACCGATACAGTACAAGATGCTTTTTCTGGGTCTCGTTTTTTATAGCACACTGACTGAAACCACACACCCAACATGGGAACCTTAGACTTATGAAGGATACTTTTCCTTCTTTAAGGTGCTATTTTGTGCAGATTGGACCACACTTCTCAAACTTGTTTACGGTTGCCACATGTACTCTGCTGCAGTTAGATATCATTTAATACTGCTTGACCCAATATACTACATGGGGTCTTTGGTATAATTTAGTGAATTTAAATATAGGTCTATTAATAGCCTGCATGCTAAAAGTGGCATCCTGTTATATAACAAGAGAAACTTGCTTTCATGTTAATTATGCCAAAATACTTGAATTATGTTTACTCATTGCACACAGGGTGCACGTTGTTCGATAACTACATGCTTGAGGTGCGCATACACACCTTCATGCACCCCATTTATTTAGTCCCCGACAGGCTTCCTTTTGCCATTGTGCCCTCTCTGTGGGATGATTCCTGCTGGGAAAAATTCAACAGAACCTTCTTGTCTAACTGCAAATAGCAGGCCTCTGATACTTGGAAATCTGTTCATTGAACATGTCCATTGACATGTTGGTTCAGTATGTATGCCGATAGTTCCAAATCCTCAAGTGGGATGGAATTTGTGATCATGTGTTGAGAGGTAACTTGGGTGTCTACTGTTGGATGAGGCCAGTATTTTTCATGGCAGTTATTTTACTTACACTTCTTGAATAAGTCTTGCAACTCCTGGGAGAACTGCCCTCTTTGTAAATATAGTCCCCGTGCCATCTTTGTAGACAGCAGTTGCCGTGGAGTAGTGGCAAGACACTCGTCCGGCACATCACGAGTGTTTTGGCCTGGATTCGTATACTAGCTGGGGAGTGAACTGTAGCCTCTGTTAACCCAGCAGTGAATGGATACCTGCTTGTTAAACTATTTGGTAGGCCGTATTCCAGAGAAAATTTGGATAAAGGACCTGCCCGAAATGCTATGCGTGCTAGTGGCTTTACAAGAGTATAAAAACTCTTGTATATTCTGTATAAATAGTGCCTTGAAAGTTTGGTACAGTTTAGTTTGGTTCATCCTTTTAATCTTGAGAATTAAACAGTGGTTTTATACATTCTACAACAGGCAAAAATTCCTTTTCCCAAGTAATGGGTTCCATAGTTGTCTGGTATTGTAAAGACTGACACTGGGGGTCATATAAACACTAAGACATCATCCTCCAAGAAACTGTCACATACAGACTAATTTAGTTATTAACTATATCTTCAGTGATTTAGCAAGAGATGGTACATATCAACTAGAGATAAGTTGAGAGTTTAAGCAACCATGTTTCTATGGTCTACTGCTGCACATGTGAGAAAGACCATAGGAAGCTGTGCTGCTAGGTTATGCCTTAGTCACACGAGATTAACACTGGTACCTAATGAAAGGTACAAGTACTCGGAAGCCCTCATGTTACGTGATTGTACCCATTTCGCTGGGGAACATACTTGTACCCTGAAGACGACTTGACTTCATATGTCAATTATGCTTCTTGGTCTTGTAATCATTATTGATGAACCTCTCACAGGGTTCAACTACCTTCAAAGTTGGGCATCTTTTCAGATATTTTTAAACATGGACTAAATTCTGAATATTTTCTTGCACCACTGTTGTAATGGCATCTGACTGCCTTTAGTACTTGTATAACAGACTGCTCATTCCCTCTGATATCCAATCCCTCAACCCAGATGAAATGCATCTATCCACTTTGTGACATGGCCACAGTTCTTCTTTCCCTATAGATTGTTCCTTTGCTCTTCCTCCAGTTATCTCTTTAACAACTTTGTTTACGTTCTTCTCGTCATCTTCACTGTAGCCATTACTACAAAAATGAATT